ATATATATATATAAATAAATAACTGATACGTGCACTATACGCTTGAACAAACGATTCACTTCTTGTGTCTGTTATTTTTAAACTTTATTTATATGAAACACATTTAAGAGTTTTGTCCACTCTTTACTTGTCAGGGCTAAATAATGTTTTTAGTGACGTTACATGTATACTATGGCAGGCATGTGTCCTCTGAAATGGTTTCCGAGTGTAAATGTAACACATTTTAACACTCTCTCCAAAGGCCAATCTTCTACATAGCTTCAGATGGCAATGTTGGGAATGACATACTCAATTGAAACTTTATCAATTTGACCTCAAGTTTGGTCCATTTTAGACAAAAATATTATGTCACTTTGCATCATCCACTACGACGGTGAAAACCATCCGAGGGTCACAGATTCCAAAGAACAAAAGGTTTATACATTTTATGAACTGTATTTATTTACTGAATAGACATTATTTTTTTAACACGTTGGCCAAATGTAAGAACACAGGCTTCTTTTCATTCATATTTCATTATACCAGGATGCAATGTTAATGTGAAAATAGTTTTAGTAGCATATTACATTTGTAAATGTATAAAGAAACTGAAAACAATCTCTGAACAATTCAAATATTTGAATCACTGCTTCCAAATAAAAAGCCCAAATAGATTCTTTGTAATATTCACTAATATGAATACAAGAAAGATATGTCTCTTCTTTTTTTAACCCAACTTCAGAGAGACAAGCTGAACAAGTTTTTCCAAGTATGTTCGGACCAGTTTTCATTCAGGCCAACCTTTCAAATCCTTCAGGAAATGCAGCTTCATTCATTTAAATCCTTTTTGCATGAACTACTGTACTATGAAGGAACACAGCAACAAGAGTTTATTCATGTTTACAGGTTGATGACGCGTCACTCGGAAACCTCCATCTCTGCTGTGGCTGCAGTACTGGATACCTGTGAGCCCGTGTTCGGCACCAAGCGTTCCCGGCTGCCAAACACCTCAGCCACTAAAAGGGAAACATCACAATAACATGTGAGCATTAGCAATTTAACTATTGACTCCATAAATAAAAGGTCAGTGCTGAACTGTGTAAAGACCCTTATTTAACTTTTTAATATGATTTCAATGAACAGCATTCCTTTTGCGATGTTTACGTGTGTGATGTAAAGAAAAAGGAAAGAAACTATACCTGCAGCAACATCACTTATATCCCAAACCCGCAAGCCTTCCCTCTGTCCCCCGAAGGCATAGACGAAGGGCAGATCAGGGCAACATGACGCACAGAAGAGTACACCCTGTCAACAGGTCGGGGAGTAAATTGTTATAACTTTGACGTTGCAAAATACTTCTACAGATGGATTGGGGTGGAAGAATCTGAGATGTACATGCTGCATATGTAAGTTCTTACCATTTTCATGTCTCGCGAGTGCACCAGGTTGGGCTTATTGCCCAAAATGTCCCAAATCTTAACGTGTCTGTCAGCTGATGAGGTGACCAGGCATCCTTTGATCTGGCTGCTGAGGTTCAAACCTGCAGAATTGTTTAGATTAGATTTTTCATTGTACAGTCAATGTGCCTTTGTAAGAATTGAATTCCTCCATGAAGCAAACCTAGAACCAAAGCATGGGGAAGGATCCGCTTAGTTGTCCATCAACGTTGTTTACAGAAGGAAATTAAATGGTGGAAAACATGTAAGAGGAAGGGTCCCTGCTGGCTGGATTGGCTGTTACTCACCGGGCTCATCCAAATGTTTTCAAAGACTGACTGAAAACATAGCCGCCACCAATTTCCCCAATTACTCTGGTAAGTACCAACAATACTGAACCATAATTTCATCCTTCCTAAATGACTCATGACCAACTGTCTCACCACACACTGCAGAACAACAAGTGCCGAATCATTTGTGCTGTTTGAATGATGGCTAGACCGCACCGCTAGAGCCTTTCTACTTCCACTTCCTACCTGACACTTCTTCGTCGTGAGCCCTCAGTGTGAAAACCGGTTTATCCGAGCGTGCGTCCAGGCAGTAGATGAATCCATCCTCTGTGCTGGCCTGAAACGCAAACACAAACTCAAGTTAACCACTGAGCTTGTGATAGAAATAGAACAAGCGGGATAAACAAGGTTTATTGCACAATGACCATAAAGCATACACAGCAGGCGTATTCGTAATGAATATTTACAACCGTTTAAGTTTAAAAAAGGAAAGTGGTTGGAATATTTCCGTTAAAATAGAGCAGAAGAATTTGAGCATCTACCAGGAAGTTCCACGGTGAAAAGTGGTCCCAGGTCAGCCGCTCCACTTGACCACTAAACCTCCAGGTCCGGTTACTGTTGTCTGGACTGCGGCAGTCATACAGGACAGCTGTCCTGAAAAGAAAAAAAATGTGTGTATCAAACTCATTGTGAATGTAAATCTTTGTTAACAAAATCTGTGCATTTCCTTTCACCCCATCCTATAAACTAATGTCAATCAGAGATTACACTTACTTGTCATATGATCCTGATATCAGAGTCTGTGCTTCGAATGGGTGGAATGATAACGTCTGAACCTGAAAGATTAAAAAAAAAAAAAAATCCCAGAAGCTGAAGCCTGCAAATTATAATCAACAACACACTTTAAATTACATCCAGCATCATTATTTTTCTCATTACTCACCTTGTCAGTGTGCCTGTGCAGAGTTGTGGCTGGTTTGCCTTGAGTAAGATCCCACAAGATAACCGTGTCATCTGCTGATCCACTGGCCAACACGTTTCTAAGGACGAGAGTGTACACATACACAATCATGGTACATAAACACAAGAAGGAAATACATCTGTATAACTCTGCACATCTGACGGCTATCTGGTGCATTTTAGGATTATCCTTTTTCCAGTGCTATAAAAACATATATATCCTGACCTGATCAGTCTGTTCCAGGATAAATCCAGCACTGCGTCCGTGTGCCCCTCGACAGGCTCTGCCGCTGCCCCCTGGCGTCAACGAGAACACACAGCATTGTGTTAATGATATATAACAAAGCAGGAAATAATGCAGGAAGGCAAGACAAGCAAGTCGACTATCAATGGTGTCAAACATTAAAAAAAAAAATAATTCTCACATCCTAAAAAAGGCATGAAAATCATTACAATGTGACCCCATTCTCATCATACAGATGCTTGTTTAAGACAGTATATGAACAGGTTTGTACCTTCTTGCTCTTTTTCTTCTTCTTGGATGGCTGTTTACTCCCTAAAGAAAAGACTGGCTCCAAACAGTCCACCACATCCAGGTCCCACACATCGATCTTAGGAGTCATGTTTCCCACTGCAGCATAGTTTCCTGTAATAAGGACACAGAACATGGTAAGAGAAGTACAGTGGCACATGCACATTAAACACATACAATTCCTTTTAGTTTTAGGTTAGCTTAACATTAAATATGATGCTGAGAACTAGTTCTGTTGAAATCCATTACTGTTATGTAGATGTAAATACAAACTGAGCCTTGGTTTAGAGAGGAACAGGATTTTTGTAAAGGTTCGTGAGAGCAAAGCTGAATTTTTCTTACCGGGTTTTTCTCCAGGACTGGGGTCAAAGTTTAGCCACTGCACACACAGTGGGTAAGCTGGTAGCAGAATATCATGATGAACATACAGAGAGTCCTCCTCGGAGTTATAAACTGGAAAGCAAGAGATCAAGTGTTTAGTATAGACTTGAGAAGAAAAGGTTTACAACAAATATTGATCATTTCTTTTTACATTTACACGCATCTAGCTTATATTCTAAGCTAGAACAACAGCATCCAAACAAAAGAAGACATTTCTCTGTGTCTTCAGAAAACCTGCTGTCATCTCATCATGTCACTTATGAAGATATTTACCATGGATCTCCAAATTGCAGCAGTCCTTCTCTGCCCTGCCTGTAAGGATGAGATTGTCACCAGGCTTGATTTGGAAGTCTTCTCGCTCATATTGGTCCTTGAGGGAAGAACAAAGACAGCTGAGCAGTTTGGCTTTGACAAGATACAATGGGTATCAAAATTGTCTCCACTTAAGTTCACAGCAAGAAGTAGATTTTTGTTGTTTTTGTAAAATTTTTCAAAATTATTCTTGCCCAATACCTCCTTAATATCAGAGCTAAAGCATCAGAGACACAATTTGAAGGCGTTTTCATAGGTTTAATGACATTTTTGCACTGAAATACAAATTTCTACTTAAATTGTTCATGGTTGAAATTAAGCTTTAGGTGCTACTTGAAGTGGGACTATACTGAATCTGCATTGATGCGATCATTGAGTGCACTTACTGTGTCTTTGAGGGTGATGTAAGGATCCTCCTCATTACAGCTGAACACTGTAAGGCCAGCCAGACTGTCGCCGAGACTAGCGGTCGCTAAATTTAAGACAAACGAACAGCAGATATACAGTCAGACTCTCGATATCTTTAAATAGACACAAGCGAAGTGGACAGAATGAGCAGCAATTAGTTTTTCTGTACACACACACACTGTACATGAACACCTCCCCACTCACCTGCATCCTCTTCATCATATCTATCCAGGCCGTACTCTGCCAGCTCGTCTTCTTCCTCCTTTCCATCTTCATCGTCACCCTTTGGATCTCCAGCTACGTCCGCTGTATTACCATCAGGATTCTCCTCACAGGCTATACCTTCATCATCGTCTTCATCCTCCTCGGCTGCTAGGTGACTGATTTAGGAGAGTAGATAAAATTCAAAACAAACAAAAAAACATGACACCAGCTGTAACATTCATTCTATTCAGCACTCGATGACAGGTAATGCTTTTCACATTTGGACAATAGATCACTGCAGTAATGTGCGTTTTATTCCAACATACCCCAGTTCCTCTTTTGCATCAGTGATGATGCGCTGTAGCTCCTCTTGGCTTAACTCAACCTGAAATGGAATAAAAAACATGGCTTAAACAAGTAGATACGCTCATGTGTCTCAAGCTGTTATCAGATGCAAGAACGGATAGATCTTTTGATAACATTTTGGGTTGAATTCTTAAACAAACAGTGTAAGTACAAATAAACAAAAGTTACTACTGTTAGATAAATTGAACAAAAAAATTATATGACTTTTTATTATATTTTTGGAAAGGCTTTGATCTAATAAGCACCTTGTTGCCGCTGCTAGTACCTGTTATTATAATTAATTTGTTGACTTGGTTTTAATGCAGCACAAATTAAGATTTCCACAAGGACCTAAAGGCCTCCTAGTTAAAGTGTATAAATACAGTAACTTGGGCTAACGTTAGGTCATTTCATTACTTTTCCACAGCCTTAAGTGCATTTTAAAATACGTTCCTGCGTCAACATCGGTTCAGTTGCTCGATTACTAACTTATAACCTGTTACATAGTTAATACACGTTTGTAATTATTCTACAACGCAGAGTGTAACATTTCCCTTGTCACTTGTGGCAATTTAACCACTTGTAGCATTGATGAAATGAGGGTAATTTCAATTATATTATAATGTAAAAAATTGTCGAGGGAGACATTACCTTTAAAGCCACCTAGAAATATAAATTACAGCCAAAGGGCTTAGGGTATTGGTCATTTAAATTAGTATGGTAGCATATAGTGTATCTCCTGCCATGTTGACAAATTAGCCGCCTGTCTGTTAGCATTAGCTAGCTGAACATGAACTTACTTTGTCTGGGGTTCCCTTTGCAACGCCTCTCCCCACCCATCCGACACAAGTAATCTGGGCACTCATCTCGGAGAAACCGTGTCGTTTATCGATCAAATACAATACAATGCGCACACATGTATCGGTTGTCAAAATTGTTTCACCTCAGGCACAGCAAACAGTGAAATGAGCGTACATGTGAGTTAAAATGGGGCCTGTGTCGCTTCTAGATGACGTTAATAGAGCGTTGGAAAATATGCCTGATCAAAAATGTAGAGCGGTAAAGCCACCCACTGAGCTGCTATGTCTTAAAACATACAGTGCTGCTTTGCTGATAGATATTTTTTAAATATTGTAAAGTGTTTTAATACCTGTAGCAAGAACCTGTAAAATACAACTCCAAGCAGCTTCAGCATGAGACATTTGCCAAAGATTCTGCAGTTTCTGTTCAGAAATTGTTGTGTTTTGTTTATATAGTTTCTGGCATTTGTACCAACCAGGTCAAGGCTTATTTTGCATACTTGCACAATGCATCTGGTAAGCAATGAAGATGGTATCAGCATGACATCATGTAGTTTCATGCAGAGGCTGTTTTTTATTTTAATTTTTCATCTTGCTGCAATGATGTAGGAATAGTACTACAGGCAATTGTCAATACACTGTTACATGACTGATGTGTTTTTATTTCAGGTGCAACAGAGCACACTTCTAAATACATCCCAGGTGAAAGGTAGAGAGGTCAGATAAATAAATAAAACATACAATGGTGGAAAGTCTTTTTAATCCTTGGAGTCTTCATAGTAAGAATTAATACACATTTCATGGCACTGACAAGATCAAACAAAAAGACAAGACGGATACACATCATCAGATATTGCTGGTATATGATAGTTTGCATACATGTTGGAGATAGTACCATAGTTTAAATCACAAGGCGAGGAAATAATGCAGCAGAGGTGTTGATCTAAGATTTCAGCAATGACACAGGAGAAGACTGAATTACTGTACTGCCTATATCACAGGATATAACTTGCAGCTCAACATGTTGTGCATTGCAGTGGTCATGGCACAGGAGTGGAACTCTGTAAGTAAAAAGTGCAAAACAGTACAGTAGATGAGAGTACATGAATAGAGAAGGAGACAGACTATACTTCCATAGTCAACTGAACCACTTCACAGGGCTGCAATTAATTCATTTAATTTAAAATATTGGTTAAACTGAATCGCATTTTGGTGTAATACCGAAACAGCGTTTAGTTTTAAATTATTCTTGTGGTTTGTAAACTTGAATACATCAAACCTTTATATGGCATCACTTTGGAATTGTCTAATAAATTGACTTTCTGAATTGTAACTGTAATTGAATCCCCTCCAAACATCATAACAACGTTTAAACCATTTGAAAGGCTTACAGAGATAAAAGTATTCAAGGCGCATTTAGTCAGTATATGTGGCTTTAGGTCAGTTAGTCCATGTTTATTCTAACTCGAGGTATCTCAACACCTGTGTAACGTTGCGAGTTGTTCGACAGATCACCTCAGCTCTGTAGTTTGAGAAACAGAAATGGAAGTGTAAAAAAAAAATAAATTAAAAAAAAAAAAATCTACATCAATCCTCAACATTGCATTCAAAAGTGGTGCATTTTTTGTAAACAATAATACTGATATTTCATGACAGTATTAAACTAAAAACGGTGTGACGGAGTGGCGTGCTGCTGTGCTGAGTTAAAATTCAATATAGTCATTAAACTAGAAGAAAAAAACTCAAGGTCTTCTTACTAGCTTTTTTCCAGAGCTTTCAACCATAATATAATCTTTCATTTTAGGCCAACATGGATGAGAAGTCCTATGGACGAAACATCTTCATTGGCAAATTTACAGCTGCCAATGAAGACCATGTGATACTGCTGAAAGCCCTGGAAGAGCTAAGCTACGATTGTTTTGTTTGGTTGTATTTTTTGCTTCGTCCACCAAATAGTTGGTGTTAATTATTAAGCTTCAAAATGTGAGGCACTGATTTGACATCGGTTTCTCATTGCTGTAACATCCAGCAAGTCATTTAGCTTAATGTGTGTCATCCTATCTGAGTTCTTTGTGTTTAGGATATTCCGTTATGTTGTTTTAAATTGTTAAAAGCTAAATCTAATAAGATTAAAATTCAATACTGGCTTCAGATTTGAACAAATTGAACTCCATTCTTAATTGATAAGGTAGTGCAAAACACTGCCATGTTACTTGATTGTCCTACACTTAGTTTGTGCAGTGGCACTGCCAGCTGCAATACGTCAACCTGTCTGTTATATTGGTCAGTATGAGAGGAAAGTAAAAAGAAAAAGACACTCTGAGAGGTGAATGAGGCTAGATGCACTGTTCTTTCTCCCTTTGCACGCTTTCACCTGACGGGAGTCCAGAGTGTGAGGACAGTAGACAAGGGTGAAGACTATACAAGTGGTTTCTCCTTTCTCTGTCCAACAGTCCCTCAAAGTCCATACCTTGTTCCAGGTCTTAATTTTGTTCCTGGACCACGAGATGTTGGTCAGTATTTGAAGAGATATGGGTGAGTGCTACAAAAAACTGGGTAGTCATGTATATACAGTATGGTCTGGTGTCTTCTTCCATACAGTTTACTCTGAGAAACCAAGTTACATCTCCTTCGAGTACTTGGCAGTCCGGTCGTCGACTGGTTTCAGACGTTTGGTCACCAGCTTGAGGTTGGTCTCATGGAGGACAACCTGGGTCAAGTACTTCTCTCGTTTGATCTGTTCTCTGACAGCGTATGAGACATCTGGGATCACGTAGGACAGGATGAACTTCGTGAAGTAAACGATGTGCTGTGAGGAGTAGAAGAAGACATTAATACGTTTTGATAATGAAAGATTTTTTTTAGTGTCAGAAAGATTTCTTGTTATGTTCACACTCACCTCTACAACGATTATAAAAGCCATTTTGGCAGCGATCACATGCCAGTAGTAGATAGTGTACTCATACTGCCTCGGGTGCCCAGGAGAATACCGAAAATCTCGATACCTAAAGGAGGAAATTTCATACTCAAACACGATTTGCCACAAAGCTGCTTCTGACACCAGTAGTCTATTGAGCTTGCCATCCTATTTTATTAGTCTTGTGTAGGCAAACATTTTGAAATGGATGACAGGTAATATGGAAACTGGCCTTCTCTTGATATTCAAACAAGGGACATTTTAATTCAGCACACACAGATGGCCAATCTTTGTACCTGCAGGTGGTGATGTTGTCAGGTGTGTTCAGGGGCTTGCTGACGTTGGAGAAGTCGCTGATGTTGAATATAGACAGCGAGCTGTTGATGTAGCCCTGCATGGTGTTGTTATAGTGATCTCCATATGGGTACACAGAGAACGACCAGTAGTAGACCAACCGTGGAATCATGTCGGATGTAAAAGCGATGATCATGGCCTGTTGAGACACCAGGACGCCAGGTAAATGTAGCGAAAGCAGAAAAGTGATCGTCAACGCTATCGTCGCCAATAACTCTGCGTAAACAGTGTTCTCACATTTGTTGCGACAGCCAATATAGCGACGCTATAAAGAATGGGCTGCCAGGCCCCTATATCCTGCGCCTTCTCTGGCACGATGCGGCGAAACTGAGTGGTGATTTTCCAAGCGTCAACCCGAATCTCAAACAGGTTGTTGACCAGAGCCAGGAGCGGCGCCAGAGGGAAGGAGACAACGAACAGGGTCACAAAGCCAAACTGGATGACTGAAAGAGACGAGACGGGCACCGTCAAGACAATTCAGTTGCAGCAGGTATTTGTATATTGACTACTTGTGTGTAAATTTCCCTCAGTATCTCTTGGTTATTTACTAACTGGTTTCAAACCAGTTTACTGAATTGGCTTGCACTATTAAAGCTTAAGACACGGGACACGCCGTGAGAGTGGTGGTCTTCTTGTCCAACTCAAAATATTTCTTTGAACATCATCATTGAATATTTCAATGAAATGTCACTACAACATTTAGTAAGAGCTAACCACGACTGTATGAAGGACTTGGCTTGTGTGGCGCAACCTGTTTTATAATATAGAGATACAGAAGTCTAATAAGTCTGAACTTAACAGCTTGTGCAACCGGCTCCAGGTGCAGCTTTAAATGTGGCAGACGGGGACTTACCCATCTCCAAATATTCATGGAACAGTCCTAGTTTTGCGAAGGGCTGCAGCTGGTAGTCCTGCTCCCAGCGAGGAATCACCTTCTCTGAAGGCCCACGAGTGCGGTAGCGGAAGATCATATTTTTCACCCACCTATGGAGGGGTGAAAGAGATCATATAGTAACAGTAGCTCAGTATGACGATGGAAAGCTGGTGTATGATTAGCTATTAGCCTTCTTTGTAAGCAGCAAGTTCACTGATGTTCACCTGCTTCTATAAGCCAACACTGTGTTGCTTAATTGTATTACTATCGTTTTTATATTTAACGTAAAATTGTTTTTAGATTCTGACTTCTTACGGTAGCAAGACCTCTTGGATGTTGTTCCAGATGGCTTTCCCGCCCATGATGATGGAAAGCTGAGTCGTCAACTCAATCAGACAACCACCTGGATCACACTGCAGGACAGCAAGACACACAGCGTGAGTCAGGAGCAACACGGGAATACGTTAGACATGTAACAAACAGCTGGACGGACAAACTGCACCTCCTCGTTCCGGTATTTTCCCAAGAGGTAAACAGGATTTCCAGGATAGCCAACCACTTTCCCTTTGGCGAAGGCGATATAGAAACAGGAGGAGTAATAGTTGATGAACTGGAAGAGAAACATCTTCAGGGTCAAGCTGTTCTCGTAGTCCGTCTTGGTCCGTGGCAGCTCTGTTGTTGTGTCAGACAAGAAAAGGATTTTCGGATTAAACCACATGCAAGTCAATACTGGGGAAAAGTATAATTCAAACTCACCAAAGTCTGTGATCCAGATGGCGACCCGCTCATAGAGAATGTTGAGGATCATAATGACAACAAAGCTGATGAGGGAGGCTGTGACAGAAGTGGCCATCTGAGGCGTCACATACTCCTTTAAGGGCTCCAGCTCCTTCAGGTCCTGAGATCTGAGTTCAGCCGAGAAGGCAAAAAAGGCAGCCAGTCGGTAAACAATGATGGCCACAATGGACGCCAGGATCAACAGAATCTAAAGGACAAAATAGAGTTGAAAGATTCATGAATATTGTGTTTGTTCTGAAATTGAAAAAATGGGGAAAAGCTTTATTCGATGGGTCCGTCATTTCAGAAGCACGTCCTAATTATTGTATTTTATAGAAGTTTACTGGAAAGAACTATGAATTTGGTACTAATTGTAGGTAAAGTAGAGGTCATGTTCAAGTAGTATACTTCCAATAAATAAGAATTCAATGCACACCACGTTAGCTACATGCAAAAACAATATAGAGTATATATTCCAATGATAAATGAGTAATGTATTAATATTTACATGGGTTTAAATGTACCATTCTTTAAAAAAATATAGTATTTTCCCAATTATTAGTACCAAATAACATATTCTTCTTAGGAGCTTGATAGTGAATTGCTGACAGGAAAAATACAGTGTTACCAAGAAAAAAATGATGACATTGAAATAAAAATGACATTTATTTACATTACCCAAAATAAGACTGTCCAAATTCCTATCGACACCCGAACACATCGTCCAAAGGCTGTATAGGGCACCTTTTCTTTTACCTAAATCACACACAAACACAGTCATATACTGGGCTTTAAAAACAACATGGCAATACTTAAAACTCATCCTGACAACATAGCATTTTCAAATAGTTTATACTTTTTTGAACAAAACTTGTTTGAATCCATCTTTATTTTTATCTTGGCTGGTGTAGTTCTACGTTATTAGCTGCAAATAGAATAGAATAAAATGTGCATGTGATTTTTACCCCTGTGATAGGGTTCTTCCTCTCATAGGTGCACTTTGCTTCATATTCTGGGCGAGGTTGCTCTTCCTGCTCCAGAAACTCCACAGTGTCCCACGTGTACTCCAGCTCCGCCTGGTAACGCTTCCAAAACTCCAGGAACAAAGTGACTACAGTTAGGAAATGAACAGGAGCAGAAAAAACAACAGGAAGGGCGAGAGTATTGTCAGTGTCTTCTTGGGTCTGTTTTGCCTTTAACAATGCCAAAGATGAGCACAAAATAAACATTTAAAATGGTCAGTTATAAACACAGCTTCTGTAAGTGATATTAGCATGCTTGCACACGCTCTATGGGAACTGTGAACATGAACGAAGTCATTACCTGGTATGTTTTTGACATTGTATACAACTTACCCCAGATGGACATGAAAACTGCAAACACCAAGGTTCCAAAGTTATCAAATATGCAAAGTTTCTAAAAGAAAATGGAAAAAAAGACAAACGTGGATATCAAAATTGTGACAGTTCTGTCCTGCTGACATGCAAATCAGTTCCAGACATAACAGTTGTGTGGAAATAGCAGCATGCATTACAATATGCAAAAGTCAGTTCTTTTTTTTTTGCATATTGAGCGACATTAGCGGGAGGACAAAAGCTTTGTAGAAACACATAAAGTCAAACTCACTTTGGAAGCTTCACAGGTGCTGTTCAACCTCCAGTATTTGCATTCTCTGTCACACTGCGGACACATCACAATATTCCCTCCAATGTCAGGGTTGCACACCTCCATGCTGCGGTAATTGAAACATGAGAACAGAGATGATCAGACTGGGAAATCTCCAAAATATCCTACGTCATCAAATTACAAGTTCATCATTCAAAATCTACAAGGAAACGTACCTCCAGGTGCTGGTTTCTTGGGTCCTGTATCCATAAATGAAACAACCCAGTCCCACAACAGCAGCCACAGCCAGCATCATTGTGTAGAAACCCAACCAGGCAAAGTAAATGCCGATCTTCTCCCCATAATACTTCCTGTGGAAAAAAATAATAAAGAGTGTTAATCTACTGTGGCTCTACTGTTCACAAAAGGCTCTGCAAGGACAAAGACATCAAAACGATTGTATTTGTTCCTGCTTGTCACACAGCGAATACAACTGCAGTCCAAAACTGTTTATGGACAGTACAAAGGCGTTTCAGTTTTAGCTGAACTGAAACATCATCAGAGAGTCAGTAAGTAAGGCTTGTGTTTACCTAATGTGGTTCAGTGGTTGCATCTTGTAGAAGCTTTTGGGATGAGCCCATTCTTTGTAGAGCAGAAATCTCTCGTTGGGGCAGCTCTCCTCTTCGGACTTGGTATTGAACTTGCACTGAAATAATAAAAACGATACAAACAAAGGGAATTTTGAGTAAATTCTTAGTTCATTAATTGCATTACGCCATGCTAAATATGGATGTTACAAACTGAAAAAGGCCTAAACCATACCTACATGACTGTAACATGTAACTTACGTCATGGAGGGGATAGGCAGCTTTGTACACTCCTCCATCCAGCAGTTTGGTGATGCCAAACTTCTTAATGTTCCCTTGTACTTCAAAGGGGGCACGACTCAGGATGTAATATGCCTGGAAGAAGAAGAGGTTTTCGTCTTTAAGCTACCAATCTGTTTACACACTCATCAAACGTATAATAGGATGGTTACAACCGCCAAACACCGTCCTTCAAAATAAAACTGAAATATGAAAGGAAGTTGCAGGCAGCCTGAAACTGACTGCCACAACATGAGGCCACTTGCCATCCTGCTCCTCATGGACGCGGTGAAGAAGACGTCTTTGTCCGTCACGTGGAAGTACTCCAGGCGGTCCTTGTCAAAGGGGGCGGTGAAGAACTCCGCGTCCTCGGTGATCAGGTCTTCGTTGGGGTAGAAGTGCTTGGTGATGCAGGAGAAAAAGCGCCACGGGGAGGGGTGCGAGGACAGCTCGTTGGGCTGGATGGGAAGCTTGATGTGCAGGACCTCGGCGTAGGTGCACAGCATGTCCCACGGCATGTGGACTTTCACAAACAGCAGTTTGTCATCTATTACCTGCAAAGGGCAAATAAGCAGTGCGTTAAGTATTGGATTGCAGTCAGATAAACCTTCTGAAAAGTGTAATCTACTTACAGATTTTGTCGCCTCCAGCTCCATTCCCATCTTCATTAGGGAGGCCTCGAAGTACTCCCGCCGATTCTACAGTGAAAAACACACAAAAAAAAGCTTCCTGAATTAATGCTCCCTCCTCCTCTTTGGCAATTATGATTCAGTTTATGTACTGGGTGACTTATGTGCCAAGCCGGCAGTGTAAATACTGTGAGCATTTATCAAAGGACTTTCACGAGGGATTATCTATATACACAAAATTAAATGGCTTTATTTATACTGTGGTAATATCTTAGCTAAATAATGTGCCGACACGTTCAACCTTCATGCGATTCAATTTGCCGTTATTTGTTTATATAGGTTTATAATTGAGCTCATTTATTTGGACACATGACATTTCCCTAAGATGTTTCCGCTGCACATACAAGCAATGAACGGCGGCACTGCAAAGCAAGTCAGAACAGGTTCTTGTTGGTGGCATGTCATCAAACGTTACAGGGAACTGAATCACGGACACAATCTTTGAACTGCTACACAGCTTTCCCCAAAACCAAAGACGCATGAAAAGGCATGAATTAGTATGAAAAAGTACAAAACAAATAATACAGAACGGTAGAATTAATTGTTCCAACTTTTTTGTTATTTGATGAGTTGGGATCAACCTTCATGTAACACCTCGACACATTTCCGCTTGATGTCAATTGTAAGGAATACCTCCGAGAGACAAAGCAAACGTCAAATACCTTCGCTGCTTTCAGGGTGGATGTTTTCATGACACACGGGGAATACATTCCCCACATGATGTGCATGAACACTTAGACAACCATAGTAAAATATTGAAAGAATTATTTTAAGATAGCGATTTAGCTAACACTATCTGAACTGAGCCACACCCTTTTCCAGTAGTTAAAGTGAACGCAGAAGGTTTAGCAACTTGTGTTTGACCCAGGTTAGGCTCTGGAAAAACAAAGTAAAGGGAGTGCCTGGTAGAGACTGCTGCTCTCCATATCACTTTTTGGCTTTTGTTTGCTTTGGGATGATTACGAATGAGGGATTGCCTCAGTCCAATTGAATCTGTGGTGAAGACGCTCATGAGCTCTACCAGCCGGCCATTTCTCAAGGAACTGCTTACACCCATTACATCCATTCACTGCTTCAGAAAAACAACATACCAAACATTAAATACCTAACGTTTTGTCCGTTTTTAAAATTATTTTATTTATGATTTTTAGCCTCCGTAGGACACAGTCTCCATTTCAAAACCACTTGGGGGATACGGTTGCAACACTGCAGGTAACATCTCTGAGGTCTGTGGATCTACAAGCATTACAAGACACATCCATCACACTGTACATCTATTGTGAAAGACACTGGTAGCAACAAACAACACACCTGGGCACGTAACCATGTCTCAGTGTTCTTCATTGGTGCACTGCGATCGCTGCACATCTAGGTTTGTGTTGTGTAAAAAGTAGGCAGCATGTTGAACCAACATTTTGTTTGCTTTCAGATTTACTCTATTCAATTGTGCCCCAGTTGAATTTACTCATTTGTTTGTGAAGGTTTATGGACCAAAATTATACCAATGTATGAAGTTCAAGTTCAGTTAAGGAGACTTATAACCAGACTGATCTGGGTTTTTTTGTTTTGTTTTTTCAGTACGTTTTTGGGGATTTAAGTGAAGGAGTAACGCTCAACTTCCCTCAGGGATTCTACCCACTGAACAACTGAGTCACAATGCGTGTTGAATGAAGGAGAAGTTCAGTGGTAAGGCACTTTCAGAACAATGTATGCCAAGCTGTTCCGTTGCTGGATAATTAAAGCGTTATTTAAGTTCCTGTGCTGAATAGATACGAGTACTTCATTTAAATTCACAGTCCTGCTGCGAATGAAAACTCCCTTTACAAACAACAGAGTTTGCATGTGTGCAAACACACAAGGCATGTCACCTGAATATGACTTACATTTAGGTTCTATGAGAAAACTGCTACTTACATTGACAAAAATAGTATGTTATTTATTAAGACAAATCTTAATCTTAATCTTAATTTTAAAACTCTTTGCCTAAGGATTTGGGATGCTGACAGGTTCAAGTTTCTCTACGCTATCTAACAGCGGCAACAAATTGCTTAAAAATACTAAAATACCCAAACATACCACATTTTACAGTGGCTCTCTTTTTGTGAGTAGATTACTTTGTTCTAAGATGATGCACTGTGCTGAACCATCCGGCTCAAAAAGGATCTAAAAAAAATGAAAGACATACCTTGTGCCTCTGGAACGTGTACCTCTTGTCAAAATCCTCCTTATCCTCATCCCCGTGGACCAGGATGAAGTCGATCTTCCTCACGCCGTCGTTGAAGAACAAGGAGTCGGGTTTGTCATTAAACTCGACCTGACAGTAATAAGAACGCCCGTCAGGTAAGTCCATAGACTCATACTCATACTCGTCTTCCTCCATAGCGCCGTACATGTTGCACACTGATACGAGACGGAAAGTGAGGAGAGGAAGAGGTCCATGTGCGTGAGATATTGTTGAATACTGACATTGACCGGCCTATTTAATGTGCGATGTGGGCCATGCAAGAGGAGTGAGAAGTGTAAACAAACATTATGATACCCGCCCTTTCTCTCTCTCTCTCTTTCTCTCCACACAATCACACTTGTGTCATTACTAGGTATACACAAAGCTCTTGCATGCATGCATTGTATATGCAACTACATGCATGGTTTCATATGTAAATGCATTTCATCTCATGTCTGTTTTGTGTTGTGATTTGGTGTCTTGTGGTCCAGTGAAATTATTGTGCTTCAAGAACAGATGAAGAACAGAATATTCATATGAATCATTACAAATACAGGTGCATTTGAGTGATCTGCTGCTACTGTAACATTGCGGTGCATTACATCGCGGTGTTGACTCACCAGTACTGCTTTGGTGACTGCTGCGCCTTCTTTAATACTGTGATACGTCGGTAAAAACTCCTGGGGGTAAACTGTGAAAATAAGACCAAACACATACATGTGAATACGGACGTCAAAATAAACAAATTTACTTGAGTCCGACCGCTACATTAGCAGGCTGATATTATCATGTTGTTACCATTATGTAAAAATGATATGCAGCAACCAATACAAATTTCACTACATTTTGCATATTTGTAAATGTATATTAGGTGTGTCACAGTGTCAGGAAGACGGTTTTAAAAAAATGTAATATTGATATCCTGTTAATAACACGCACACATGATCATTTAGATATAATAATCCTGTGTATCTTCAATGGTTACATTCTCTCCACCTCCCTACACTCATATTTAGAATGTAATTAATTTGCCAATAAAGAGGCAAAACACACAATAAACAAAGATTGATTTATGGCATTATTTATCAAAGGCTCGTCTTAACTGAGGTCTGTTTGTCAGTAGTGAACGCAGCTTCACCTGAGCCAGCAATAAGTTCATAGGTGTATTGTGAGTACTGTAATATTATTGTAAAAAAAACATTTTAGAGATCATTGATGTTGCACTTTTCACTGTTAAAAGTTATTTTTTTTGTACACATCACTGTGTCTTGTTGACATTTTTTAAATCCCTCTCTTAGAGGTGAACGATAGGCTCAGCCGAAGTGAAAAAAAAAAATCAGAAAGACGACTAAAAACTCATTACCTTCACTACTATTTTCTGAGAAGTACATTAGCATGTCACGCTCCTCTGAGTCACATGCGGGGAACGGACTTACCGTCGTCATACATCCGCTTCAGCTGTCATTAACCTGCAGTTCAGCTGAAGCTGTGCTTGTTGCAGCAGAGCAAATATGTCCAACTTAGCACGTGTATACGACACATTTATGTCACGTATGTACGTTTACATGACGTAAAAAGAATAACAGCTGATATTCTGTTATCAGACAGCCTCAGCTGCTAGCATGTCCGTCTTGTTTTATCTGTATTTGCCGGTAAAGGTGCTGCTGACCTCACAAGAACTTCACATCCACACAAACTCTGAGCAGGACGACATTCATGTTCCACCTCAGCGGTGCTCACTGAAGCAGCGACGACTGTTACTGATTTCCAAACCAGTCGGAGGGTTTATAACCAGTGACCCTCCTAATACAAGCCTCACCAAACCTCACGCTGTTATTGTTGCATTTTGTTTGTACTGCTTGCCTCGCACACAATGGCCCACTCGCCACAATGTTATATTTCTCCCCCGGAAAAAGAGAAGAACTAGGTCACCACCTACTGCAGTGCGGTCGACACATTTAGAAAAATACACTCAAAGATTAATTTAGAAATCTGCTCTCAGTATTCACACCACTGACCGCATCAATACCACCAACATTACATGCATTGTTTTATGCCTCATAATTATATTACACATGCCTTGTTTTTTTTACAACAGATGACATTACATCCAACATGGAAGGCCCTCTAATCTTTCCATATGAAGCAGACCGCGATGACAAAACTAACTGAAGACAGATGTTGTTTTCAAAACACTGGCCATAGTAACACTTGGGGAAACTTCACAGTGGAATTAGTGTTCATCACAAGACTTTCCTTTGACAAAGTCCTCCAGGCTAACAGTCTGAACTCAAACAGACTTTAAAGTCCGTCAGTATTTTGAAATGCTGAACCAGTAACGAAAGGCTAACCCCACTTTTTTTTACACTGATGTATTGTGGGCCTAAATCCTCCCCTGTACGCTGTACCATGACTGTAATATCACATGATGTTTTTTAGTTGTTTGCTGCAGACTGGAGGTCACACTGTACCCGATTAGTGTTTTGTTCTAAAGTCACTACTTTGGTGTGTAATATAAATGAAATGTGCACGGGCTCCTGAGTCATTAAACCCAACAGAAACGCTGTTACGAAACCTCTGCACCCTACAGTCATATGATTCTTTTGAAAAGCATGTTGAATGCTCACGAGCTGTCTGCAATAAAAATCTGCTTTCTTGCCACAACCCACCCACACACCCAGCGCTCACTTCCTCTCTAGAGACCATCCTCCATGACAACACACAAAATAATAAAGGCTTGAACAAAAAAAGTATTGTTTTTAACTTCCAAACTTTGATTTTGTGCAGCATGAAACACATTTTATTTGACCAAAAGGCTAACATTTAAAACACTTAAGTCAAGCCCAAAAATCAGTGCCCATCGCACATATGACAGGAAATTCCTTTCTGCATCAAAAACTGGATCATTTCGTGACATCTGGTACAAGTCGAGTGTCTTTCACAGGAACACAATCTGCTCTAAGATCTGCCTTCAGTCTTAGCAGTTAATGCCTATATATGTTTTGCATGTGAAATGAGATAACTGATGATACATTTTCATTGAAACTTGCCTCCAGCAGTCGAGAGACATAGCTCTCACCCTAACATGCTAATCTGTAATCATCAATGCATCATGTTTACTGTACCGATGTGCTGGCTACATGTTAATAATCAGACTTCCTGTATCACCATAGAATTACTTTTGCACATTATTACGTTGAAACAAAACAAATCTTATTTTTGCTAATGTTTCTTCTGCTGCAATCACTCCATCACAGGCTGCAACAAAGCGTGGCTGCAATAATTCATAACAAGTGAATATAGGCTCCATTAAATAGAGTGCACTTAGTGAAAAGCATTAGACACTTCCATATGGTCAGGGCCTTCTACATAGTCACACCATCCTCACAACTTACGTTAACACAAAAGACCACTTATCTCTCATTCAGGTGTGAGAAAAAGAAAACAAATGCATGCAATACCAGACGGTAGTCATTGTGGGCAAGACAGGACATGAAAGAAGCGTATAGATTGAGAAATATTTCCCACAACTGTGGAAGCTGTACAGAGATTCACTCTATTCCAAAGTTAAGTTGCAGTTTCAGTTTGGAGCGTCAGGAATGTAAGACATGCAAGGAACAAAAGAGTGTTTCGAAATGCGATCTGTTCTAGTTTGAAGCCTTCCAACGTGCCACACCAGACATATATGACAAAAACAGGGACTCCAGCTGTTTTTTTGGGGGGGGGAGGGGGCGGTTTTGATCGCCCAACATCTGTTATTAATATCAGTTTGTAAGGCAGAAGTGGTGCTTCTTAAAAATGTGTGCACCACACCCACACAGTTGTTCTGCTACACATGCAGCGTGCATGACTTAAAGCTTTCGACCATTTCCTTCTACTCATTACCTACCCTGTAAAGGTGACAACACCTCATGTTTCATGATGGCATAAATGGGTAAATTATAATGTACATGTCCAATAAGGAAATCATGAACCGTGTACTATTAGCAGACCTCTCAACCAGAACAGAGATATAGAATAAGTAGAAGTGCATTTAAAATCTGGAATGATTAGCAACAGAATGTGCCAAAAGTAAAAAAGCACTCATTACGCAGACAAATGGCGCAAAGGAGTAGACCATTGCACTTAATGTCGGCTACTTGACTAACGTTACACCACTTTTTGAGTAACTTTAAAAGTTGTAGGGGGGGGGAATACACCAATCAAAGCATCAATGTTTACACGACAACAAACTATAAAGTAGGCTGGAGCAGTGGATGAATGAGTGGGAGGTTAGCTAACACGGCCAGAGGTGAACATGACCTAGATGTGTTTCAAGTATCACATGCGAGTAAACACTCACAGCGCGCACACCCACAATAAATCTCTTGCGAGAAAACAAAGCTGTCCTCTTACCAACGTGCTCTTCTATCATGCCCAATACAGCATCACACTCCATCTCATCTGTCTCAGACACGGAGTCCATCTCGTAGATGTCGTTATTGCTCATAGTCCTTGTCGGGGGTCCCGGCTCACAAAAAACTGAGAACAACAAAAAACAACAACTTTGCTTTACCGACAGATTACTGTGTATTACAATAGCTTCAACGCGCAGCCCCGTCCTCCACGCATTCTGTATCTATTTCTCAGCATGGATTCAGCCGGCTAAAGTTTCGCTCAAGTTGCGACTTGAGAGAATGGAAGAAGTCTCACGGGCGGGGTCGGAGGAGGGTGAGGAGGAGAGGAGGAGAGGAGGAGGGTGAGGAGGAGGAGGAGGGTGTTGCTGTTCTTCAGCCACATTTGACAGTCAAGTTACGCCCACTCAATTCCTCTGAAGTTTGTTGTTTAGCGTGCTGCTTAACGCATGAACACACTTGACATCTAGGTGCATGTGGAGAAATATGTATTTTGTTTTGAGATGGTTTGAGATGTTTGGCATTCAGGTAGCCTCAACAGCAGGAACCAGTGCTTTGTACGCTGCTCTAAATTCATGCCATATGATTCATTCACGTACCATGTGCGTTCCTTCGGCATTCAACCGTTACCCATCATGCAGTTTCAGTTTTGTAAAGCAAAGATTTTATCGTAAACGCACTGGTGTCTACCCGAAATGATCTAATGATAACATGATTTCCTGGGGGCGAGAACGACGTTTCAACCCGTTGCTGTATAACAGTTAAAAAAACAGAGTGCGGGGTAGGAACCTTTTAAACAGTGCGGCCCGTCTTTCAGGGGAAGGAAAACGGTGACGGAACACTAGTGGGCATATATCCGCCAATAACAAGACGCTAGCTTGACACGATTTAAAGCGTATTGTTTGTGCTAGTTATTCCAAGTGTGTACATATTTAGTAAACGGTCACCTGGAGGTACATCAAATAGAAAACATTCAGTTTAGTATTGCACAAATGGCATAACGGTTAAATGTGTATTTCGGTGGTAATAAACGCGAATCACCTAACAAATGATTCCAGCTAGTGATAGCTTAGCTAAAAGGCTAACGCGATGGTTAGTGTCACGCTCCTTTAGCAAGTAGTCATGTTAGCTTGCTGACGTTTTGGAGTTACTGGCAAATAACGTATTCTGAGACCGATTGGGTCTCCGTTTAATAGTCAAAACTCCACCTAAAGCGAGCGCCCTTGGCTTTTAGCCGGTTCATTTCATTTCCTGATAAGGGTTTCTACAGGTGAGTTGACACTAAGAATTTATGAACATCGCAGTTGTCAGTAGAGATTCAGCAACCGTCAAATAGTATTTTCATTACTGTGCCTCCTATTTCTGTAGTGGTAAAAGGAAGATGCATGATGTAATAAGTTGTGTTATGTTTATAATGTTTGTGTTTATCTAACTTAAATGTGGCCGCTGTCATACAGATTTCATATAACATATTTACAACATACTCAATAACATTTATGTGTGTGTGTCTCTATTAGAATCTCATGCTTGTGTATTTTTACTGTTGTCCTTACAGATCAGGGCACGCTGGAGTTCTGCAAAATGAAGATGTTCTCGGTGTCTCACAAGACGGTCTTTGTGGTGGACCACTGTCCCTACATGGCCGAGTCGAGTCGTCAGCAGGTGGAGTGTGATGTGCTGACGAAGAGTCGAGCTCAAGGGGTCATTCCTTTGGCCCCCGTGTCCAAGTCCCTGTGGACCTGTGCTGTGGAGTGCTCCATGGAGTACTGCCGGATCCTCTACGATGTTTATCCACTGCACAAACTGGTTAGCTTCTTATTTATTTTATCTGTGTTAATCAATGTGTTGGCTGTTTCTCCACCACTGGTTCCAAATAAGATATGTACGAAACGAACGAATGAGATATCTTAGAGAATTGTAATCAATGTAGCTACTAGTTACAGTTCACCAATTACTTCAACATTAAATATACGCGTTCTGACTTCTCTTTATTTTACAGATTAATTACCTTGTGAGTGATTCCGAGTTCCACATCTTGAATAGCTGGAGGCAGGAAGACCAGAGCACTCATGAGGTAATCCACTGCCCACAACACTCAGTGACGGAATAACAATTCTACCTGATATATAATATGACTGTTAGCCTACAGTGGGTCCTACAGTGAGAGTGTTTTCAGCACAGCTCCAGTTTGCCGTATTTTGGAGAAGTGCAACATTATTATGAACATCAGTGACCACATGTTTCTATCAGAACTGGACTGATTATCCTGTTTCTCCTCCTCCTCCCTGGCAGCTCATGTCAGCGCTTGCGGCTGTCGGGCCGCCTAACCCGCGCGAGGACCCCGAGTGTTGCAGCATCCTGCACGGCCTGGTTGCTGCCGTGGAGTCGCTATGCAAGATCACAGAGTTGCAGCACGAGAGGCGCACCAGTCTGATGGACACGGCCGAGAGAGTTGCCAACAGGGGTCGTATTATCTGCCTAACCAATGCTAAAAGGTAAACACCGATGTGGCGGAAAATCAACTTTAGCCATCAGCCACATGTTGATCGTTTCATTTCCCGCTCAGCAACTCTGTATTGTCACTGTTTTGTACTTTACGTGTATTGTATGTGTACATGTATGGACTCATCTTCTGGTCGTCGCTTACCCTGATAGTTTATATTCATAGAAGAACCTTTTAATGTGCGTTATATTATTTAAGACAATTCTAATGCAGTGCTCTCTGTGTCTATCTCACAGTGATACTCACGTGCGGATGTTGGAAGACTGCATCCAAGAGACTATTTTAGAACAAAACAAGATGGCAGCGGGCTCAGACAGGTCAGTATCAGCTAATGTGATGAGTGTAGTGATTCTTCCCTTTTTTGAGCACGTGATAAATGGCTCACAGCTCATCGTTGTGCGTTTCAGGCTGATGGCCATCCAGCAGTGTGACCTGGTCCTAGTTCACATCCACCCACAGGGGGAGGACACGCTGGTGTCTGACCGGCCGAAGAAACAGGTGGGTGCTGACAAAGAAGACACGAGCTTGTGTGAAAAAACATGGCGCTGAATGCTGACGCCGCGCCATCATGTCACAGCTGTTAGTTCTCACTACAATCTTCCTCCCCCGGTTGTCTCAGATCTCCCCTCTGCTCACCAGCGAGGTCCACAGCGTCCGTGCCGGGCGGCACCTTTCCACCAAACTCAACATTCTGGTCCAGCAGCACTTTGACTTGGCCTCCACCACCATAACAAACATCCCCATGAAGGTAAGGGGCTTCTTGCCCTTTGTTTGGCCTTGCACATGCCACGCCAGAATTACATCTCACATCAACTTTAAATATTTAATTTCTTTTGCTAGTACACAAATGTTGTCATGTCCAGAATGCAGACCATTCCCTCTTTTTACTTGATTGTTTTTATTTTTTTATTTTTCTCTCGCACTACTTCTTTTGCTTGCTTAATCTTTACGCGTGAGCCCTTCCTCACCGATAATTACTCATGAAACTTTACAGTCTCATCTTTTTGTTTATCTCATTTGCATGTTGATTTGACTGTGAATCTGCTGCTGGTTTCATGCTGTATTTTCTGTTTTGCTAGCCCACATTAAATGTTTGCGACCAGGTTAGTACTCTTATCACACACACATCAAAGTGAGGAAGGGTCAGAGTTTACACCACGTAGTGTGCAGTGTATGTTTGGAGCGCTACTGTTGCAACAGGCTTACAGTGTCATGAATTTGTTTTGATGTGACAGTTGGTCGAAAGATTTGACGGTGAGGCTCCAGTAAAGGACAGGCAACTCTGGTCTCATGTGGACACCCGGGGAGTGCAGAGTTTGAGAGTCTACAAACTTAACTTTTCTTTAATTAAGTGATATTAAAAACCATTTGTTTTAAAGTAATCCAAATTGTTCTTGGAAAATGTTTTGTTGGCTTTAGGATTCCTGCCAAAGACTGATATAAAATGCAGAATATGAATGTTGAATTCAACCGTTTTAATGTCCGAACATCTTTGACCAGCGTTGCCTCTTCTGAGTTGTTGAATACTGTCAGTGTCTGTCGGGTGTTTACACCTTAAAAGTTGCCTAAACTATCCCCTGGTCTCTGTTTCCCTCCATCAGTTCCCACCCATTCCCCCTTTAGTGTCTTGGTGTGGTCCGTTGTGCTGTCTGGATAACTTGTTTTTTTAAACCCGACCTTTAGCTGTCCTAAAACGGCTATTTTTCCATCTGTAGAAAGTTGTCAAATTTAAAGCTTGTGTTTAATTGATTAAAAAACAACCTTATTTTTAGATCAGCGGTTGCCAGACCCCATTTTCGGGCCTGGGCCTAAACATATAGAGCTGTTTTTTTGTAAGATTGAGAATCCATGATTTATGTCAAACAAGTACAGGCTCAGTATTGTGTGAATTTAAGGACATTTGCGTTAAACATTAGTCTGTGATGTGAGTAGAAGAAAACATACTTAAGTCACCCAGAGAGCTTTTTTTCTTTTACTTTGGTCATTATCATTTACCCTTTGGAACATGAAATCAGCAGTGCTAGTGTGTGTGTGTGTGTGTGTGTGTGTGTGTGTGTGTGTGTGTGTGTG